TGCAACTGGATATTCTACCTCCATATCTTCTTCCTTGTTAAAGCTTATTCCTTGCTGTACTTGCCTCTAAAACAAAAAAGCACATCTGGTTTCATCATAGGGTGATTATAAAGCCCCTATTATTATTAAGGTACTACATTATGAAGGCCCTATATTATAAATGTGCTATTAAAATGCCCTTTACTTATGTGCCAAGGCCCTTATTTTCTTAGTTAATCTGCTCCATTGTGCACATCCACGTTCTGCATGGTTTTAACTGAAAAACAAAAAAAGATATTTCCCTCCAAACAGAGAAAAGTCAGGCTATTACATACAGTACCAATTCTATCCACTTCCAGAGCATTCTCTTCATTGCCCTGACATACAGAAAGAGTGGAAATGACATCAACCTGAATTCAATGCACAATGCAATGAATCTATGGAACTCAAACAGTGTATAATGTACATTTAGCATCTCTGCATCCCTTGACCATTGCCTAGACTGTACCTAGTAATTCAGTACCTAAGATATCAAAGCCACAACTGTATCTTATTTGTAGGGGATTTAATGAATGAGTGTCTGATGTGTTCCTAAATTATTCTTTATTTAGTAATTGCAGTGGCTTCATCTGCCAACTCAATTTTCTGTCAGGCCATCTAATTTCCCCGTGAATTTCCAAGTTGCCTACCTAATCAGCATATTTTGATAAATGCCACAGAGGAACACGGCAAATCCTCCAGGGCAAATCAGAACTCACTGCAAGAGCATCAGGTTGCTCCACGGACACTGCCCCTAAAAATGTATTTAAGCAATTTTCCTATACTGTTCAAAATATGCGGACCCACGTCTGCATATGTGCGATTCCTTATAGACTGAACTTACATTCTGTAAGTGGCACAATAGAAAGAAATAGAAAATGTCAGATGCCAATCAATAGTTGAAGAGTACACTTCATCTTCTCCTTTGAACTTTCTAAATCTTATACTCCGATGATACTTGTGATCAATAGAAAATGGAGGTCCAGAACTAGTGAAAGTATTTTTGTCAACATAAGACTGTCCATCCAGTCCACAGTTAAAAGACTGACACAGGTTTCTTTATGGATGAGCCCCTCTTGAACTTGATAAAGATGATAGACTTCTCTAATTTAAGAGCTTCAATCAGATTTTGATCATGTTTTTTCCCCCCGTTTCCAAAGAAGTGATACTTGGTATTATTCTATTCCCAGTTCCATCCTGATTTTCTGATGAAATATCTACAGTATAACATAGCATTTGCATCAATCCTGACATATTGCAAAGATTAAATAAAGTTGATGCTCAAAAGGAAAGGTTTTGTCCATTTATTAACTACAGACCTCTGAAACCCATAACACCGTATAAACTCTCACAACATTCTGAAATAGAACAGAAGCACAATAGTGTGGAAAAAAAAAAGGTTAAGCTGCTTTATTTAGTTATGACTATTTTGCCTGTAGTTACACTTTATCATATGTATACTGCAGCAAAATCAAATAAGTTCAAAATATTTTGTTAATTTGTTCACATACAAAATCTCAAACGGTAATTTTTATGGTTAAATGGCAATTAGAAACATCTGCATTAATCATTAAGATCCTGAGTCCCTTCAACACCAGGTGTAAATACTGTAAATCTATCACAATGACCTCCTATTCCATGGACAAGTAAGGTAGGCAAAAGTTCAGAATGTGTGCAATGAAGGGTTGTGATGTCAAACCATATTGATCGAAGCCTCAGAGAATTTCGCATTTCAAAGAGCAGCAATCTACTGAGGTACCTCATTTGGAGATCTGACATTTTATCTCTGCATGTATTGAACTGGGCACTGAATAATCCTTCAAATGGGCCCTGCGTACATTTTAACATTTAAAAGCTGCTAAGCCCCAGGACCTCTGAGCTACATCTCTGATGTACTGAGGAGCAGCTGGAGAGCTCTCTCTCCTGGCATCGAGTCTCTGGTGGATTTTATTTCAATTCTTTCTTTCCCAGCGATCCGATAATGCTGTCTGCTGATTGCACTTGTATCCGTCTAAGATCAGAACAAAATCTGAACACGGATGAAAGTTAGACCAAATGCAATGTGCAACACTCAGTTCTAACAATATTCTGGAAGGACAAAAATATATAGGCACTACGTTGCAAAGTGGTCTGATATCGTTTACACTTTTTTCTGCTTTTTTTCTGCTAAACAATTGCATTGCTTTAAAAGCTGTTTTACACAATACACATTTAAAGCATTTCTTGTATGTTCTAAGACGTTCATCATTATCCTTCTTGTTTAAAACTGGTCATTTTTCTTGGATAACAATCTTTTTTTTTTCACCTGACTAGCCACACAGCCATTATCTGTATATTATTAACCTCACAAATAAGTCTAATTACAAAAGATTATTGTAAATTCACTCAGCCTGATCCCTATGCTTTGTGCTTCCTTTTTATCAGTCATTTCACTCCATTTCCGTCTCCTAGCAACAGAAATTTAATGCATGCTTTTTCAAAGACTTAATCACTCTAAGTTTAGGAGTATTCTTGACAATGCTTTAGGAAAAAACATAATGTACTCTCAAATTATGTATTTGTCATTCAACCACCATTGGTCCTCTGACTTAGAAATAATAGAAATAACTACTGCAAATATCAGGTGGTATTACTTTTAAGATGACTGTCTAGCACACCCAAGAATCATCAAATTCAGGTGTACTTACACCAAGACAATATTTACTGAACATATTTTAAAAAAATACTATATAGAACTTTACCAAAACAATTGTACCTCTATTATCACCCTCATCCTGCAATTACTACCTTAAATATGGTCCTTAAAAGAAACACTTTTCTGTTTCTAGGAACAGAAAAGTGAAAGTTGAGATTTTCACCTCCAAATTGTTAAATTGGAAAATTGTTAATAAATGTTTTATTTTGTGTGGAGTGTAGAGTAAAACATGACTGTGTAGATATCAGTTTGTTTTGCTACATGATACTGTCTAATAATAATTAGAATATACTTAAATTGCTAAAATAAAAAATAAAAACTGGTGTGCCACTTAACCATAACACCACTGAAAAGGTATACATGATCCTGGCAGGAAAATCAAAAAGAAACCTCTATTGAACGTGGCGAATCTCTGGGAGAACATTAAGGCTGAGATGGCAAAAATGCACGGAAATGCACTCCAACAGGAATGTGACTTACTTTAGATTTAAAAAAAAATCTGCAAATTATGGTATCCACTTATTTTATGAGACAAAACAATGTGAAATAAGTAGTTTAAATTGAGTCCTTTTTTCAGTTCTTATATACAGTGTATGTGTGTAGAAAAGAGAAAACTGAATTTATCAGTTGGCTAAGACACTACTTATAAAGACATTATACCAACTAGCTATTAATCTTGTAGCTTTGGGGAAAGCTTTTCTCTATTAGTTATTTTGATCTCCAAAGAGAGTCATGTTTCAAGTCTGTAAAAGTTTCAAGTGTGTAAAAAATACATGACAGAAAGAGGCTCGTCTTTGTTTTGTAATAAGAACTTCATGCTTCACCAGTATAAAGAACTTCCTTCATGGTGTCACTTTTAAGACGCATCAATCTGTAAATGCTTAGGAAACAGAAACACTTTACAGAAGAAGCATTTTATCTTTCATTTGCTATAACCTTTGTGACGAGAAGCTTCTAAAAGTGTAAAGCACAAAAATTACAGTAAGAAAGCTTTTAAAGAACAAAACTGAACTACTGCAGGTGTTTCCTGGAAAAAAGGTCTGCAACTCATATCAAATCAACTGAGGTTTCAGTTTGTCACTTGTAACATCTTTTGAAGATCGTACTATGGCAAAACAAACATTTGAGTTTTTAAAGGTAAGAGTTCTGTACTTGCATTGTTTACCCCATAAGCCTAGTATTTAAAGAAAATACTAAATGTGTTCTCTCATAGTGATGCACGCTCCTCTTAAGAGGAACCTTTTTTTAACCTAAACTTAAATATATTAAATGTTAGGTCAACTACATTTCATGCGTACTTTTGATGATAATCTTTAAGATTATTTAAGTCCTACATAGTGTTATCGTTTGAGATACAGTATAAACTAGTTTTTCCTCACAAAAATCATTGAGGAAATAGTCTGAAGAGAATTTGCAAAAGATATTGTTTTAAAGTGCCCACAAAAATGAAAGAATGTTGACAGACATCTCCAATCACAAACTCTGCAATACCTGTGGCACAGAAAGCAATAGCGACAGAGAATGATTATACAAACATTCTTATAGAACATGTTTCTATAAGCAAACCATTAGACCCTGTCTTTAAGATCAATTAGGTCCCCTAAACCAGCTCATCTTCATGTATTAATATGCTGAAAGGCATTAAAAACACCACAATTAAGTACTGTAACAAAGGTCTAATGTAACATGACATTCTTGCATAACAGTTAATGTTCTTGCTGCTGTAGTCACCCAAAATGGTTTTAGTACTGTGTGCTAAGTTTTACATTATACATTACAATTTGTTATTACTAATATATTTTAATGTTTTTGATGGCTAAAAAACTGAGGGTCAAATACATTTTATTTGAAGAAAAAAAAAATATTGTTCAATATTTTCCCATACTGTTCATTAAATAAGAATAGTAAAACACAGACAGATGAGACTAAGACTCTTGGTTAATGCTCAGGAATATATATATATATGCCCACATGGTGAAAATACATATTATTTGGGGGGGGGAAAGAGGCCCAAAAAGCCCTTATCTGTCTTTATCCTAATATGATTTTGAATCTCAGTAGCACTGTATTGCTGGCTGTACATGACTGTACAGTATGAGCGGGTACACAAATATACCTGCACACACACATTTGTATTAAACATACAAATACAAAATGTGTAACTGAAATAATTCTAGATCCTTAACAGCAAGATGCAGTATTTCTTAATGCAAACAAGACAAACCCTCATATGTCTTTCACTTGACATTTACCTTTTTGGACAACACATGAAACAAAGCTCACTTACCAAATGACTGGATGCACGCTTCAATGAGCTCCTCCAAGCTGGCCCCCTTAGCCAAATGCCCCAGAGACATCATGACTTTGACCTGGTTGATCTGGGCCAGGCTGGGCCTGTTGACGCGGTGACGATTAGGCCTCAGGTGAGGGGAGAACTTAGAGATGGCAGGACATCCTTGCAAGAGCCTCCTGAAATAACAGAGGTAGGCAGGTGAGGCGAGAGAAGTGAGGGCGCACCACTTCGGCCGAAGCTCGCATGAGTGCACAGGGCTGGTCAGAGGATGGAAAAGACATGAAAGGAGACAGTGGGAGTTGGGCTGGTGGGAGCCATCGCCTCCCACTGGCAAACCAACCAAACTCAACAGTAGCCGTTAAAGGGACATCACATATGCAAATCCAAGGAGCACAGAGTCAAGAAACCCAGATAAGGGGGTCAAAGACAATGACGCTCTGCTTATGCACAGATTATGTTTTGTTTATTTTAAACAAAATGAAGTCTGCTTTTGTTGGAAGTAAACTATGGACAAACGTTTGCATTTACAAGCGTTGCCTATTATTGTTCATTAATATAATACTTTTTCTACTAGAAATAGTATGCCATTGTGAAATCAGTGTGAACATGGCTGTTTGTTTTCTTTATGTAACTGGGGAATTCAGATGTAGAATACATTATAATGAAAACATAATTAGTAGTAGTAGTCTGGGTGCAATATGGTGGTAAGCATTGCTACCTAACATGCTGAGACCCTGAGTTCAATTTCTAGGACTCTAGAGAGGAAATCTGTGGAGTTGTGCAGTTCTCATGGGTTTCCTCCAGGTGCTCTTGGTTTCCTCCCACAGCCCAAAGAAATGCTGGCAGGATAATTGACTTCTAGGAAAAATGACGCTGGTGTGACAGTGTGTATGTTTGTGTCTGTGTGTGCCCTGCGATGGACTGACATCCTGTCCAGTGTGTATCCTGCCTTGTGCCTGTTGCTTGCCAGGACAAAGCAGTTAGAAAATGGATGGATGTATTTATCTGAAACGTTTATTCAAAGTAAATTCCATTTGTCCCTATTACACACCTGAACATTTTACTGGCATAATCTGAATTAACTACAGTACCTTTTGGTCAGCTGTATGACAGCAGTGTGCCCACCTAGGATTTGTACATGCTAGGGCTTGATATGTAGACCGTCCATTATAGAAATCATTAATCATTCATAACATTAGGTTTAACAGTAAGAAAGCAAAGTCACATAATTGATTTCAGTGTACCTAAAGCATTTGCATTAATAGCGTATGTTACTAATTCGTAATTCCAACGGCAAATAAAACAGCAGTTCTACTTCATTGCTCTTACTTTCTTGTTCTGACCCCTTTTGTTTCTCACTCTCAAACATTGCCTAGAAAAAGGCAGACCTGTTAAGTTGCTATTTGTATCCATGAGGCAACATCCTTTCAAGTGAATGCAGTGCATTTATTTCCATGCATGCACTGAGCTTTCATACATTTATTTTATCAGCTATCCTGGCATAAGGCATCTGTTAAATAGTTAATAAAAATATAGGAGAATATTAAACTGTTAAAATTACAGTATATCCACATTTAACCATTGCAATGGACCCCATCTTGAATCATACTACAGTATGTGCACAACGAACAGGGCTACAAAACATGTTCTGTTGTGAACCACGTTTGTCTGGAGTTTCTTACTCAAGGACCTCATACGATTGAGTCCTTATCCAATCCTCATCCATAACCAATTCATCCTATAGAGGACTGCAGTGATCTGCAGCATAGATCAGCACACACAGGGCAGCAAGGCGAGACCACATCCCACACAGGATGCCAGTCCGCAGCTGGGGACGTGCACGCAGGGATGCTTATGAGGTAACAATTAATCTAACTGGCGTGTGTTTGGGGGGTGCAAGGCTAAAGGACCTGTGAAAACCCACGCAAACAAAGTAAGGACATGCAAACAACACACAGAAGGAACCACAGGGCTGTGAAGAGGCAGAGTTTATCAGAAATGTGGAAAGAAATAGGGGATAATATTTCAAGAAACCCAAGATATTTAGGGATCAATGCAGTAGTCTTAATGAGAAAAAAAACACCTCACCAAGTGAACTGTGTGGCATTAAGATATATTGCTTGTCTGGAGAATGTAAACTGGTGTTTTTATGGACATTCCTTACTAATTATTCAGCAGAGAAAACAATGCACTGCACAGCAGGAAGCACAATGCAGACAGGACCAATGTGAGGTTCCCCATATCACTTTGTCCATCATGCTCATCCCTGCCTAAAGGAAGGACACACTTCAGTTTTAACAGCATGTTTCAACCCCTCTACCTCTTATCTGAATACCAACAAGTTGTTCCATATCGACTACATTTTCTGAGTTAAAACAGTAGCTGCCTGCAGATGGGATAGGACAACAAATGTCATTTATGACCTTAGCTAAATCATAACCGATTTGCAAACAAATTCACTCTCCAACTTAATAGCGCAGTATTTGACAGAGATGCTGTATTTCAGATTGGTAATTATATGGATATCACTACTGTACTCCATTTGCTGTTGAATCATTAAAGATACTGTTGCAAATGTTTTACTATTATTATTGATGTTATTAAAAGGGTATAGACTTTTATAATGAATTTACTAATATCCTTACAAATAGCTGTTTATTCATTCCAGCTGCACCAGGATAATGAAACTGAGGTAATGACTTAGCAACTACAGTTTTGCAATGGTCTTTTTCAACAGGTAAAAGATGTGTTCATTTGCACTTTATCTCATTTTCCCTGTTTTCCAAGACTGTCACCTCTGCCTTATTCTCTTATAACTGTCATTTACAGACACAAATACTTATAGCCTCTTTATTTCTCTGAAAACGATGAGGCTACTTCTAATTTTTTTACACATATCTGATAGTACAAACAGATGCAGCCTATACAAAATTACTGGTGCATCTAAATTAAACAGAAAGGAATATGGTTCTAATTCATGTCAGCTCTGTTGGTGACCAAGACTTCTTTGTTATACAGCACCTAAAGGCACATGTGACTTGGTCCTTTCCAAGCCACTATGGAATTAAATGTATTTTTTTAAAAACAAAAGAAAAAACAAAAATGATTCAAGGTATAAAGCATTAGTATAGATGATGGGGAGCCTGCCAATACAAAACCATCAAATCACATATTTAGCCGTATAGAAAGATGTTTTAAAGATAGTTATTTCATAATTTCAGAAGGTGTTGACCTTAGTCCTTACAGGAGTGATTTATTATACTGTGGCATTAGGAATTGCGGAACTAAACAATAATAACTTTCCTCCTTATTGACAAAAATGCATCCCTCCCAAATCCTGTTATTCTTTATATATTGTATCTAGGATAACTGTTTCTAAAAATATATACTTATAGGCGTGTGTAGCATAAATACCTCTGGTTAAGTCTGAGTTTATCCAACCGTATCAAGTACTATATAGCCGTCGTCAAGTTTTAGCGAGTTAAATATTACTTAAGTACTGACTTCAGTCTGACGTTTAACTGTATTGTCAACTTAATCACCTGTTTTCTGCGTACGTAACAAGATAAGGTAAGTCTATATTTAATAATTTGCTAAGTTCTTGAGTCTCTCTTTGTTCGTGACCATGTCACCAACTTTAGGAGAATCCGCAAGTTTCCCTTCTTTGTTTACACGTCACAGTTTTTTATACATGTGTTATTTTTAAAAAGAGAGGAAACGCAGTTATAAATAACACAACTTAATTCTTTGTTAAAAACGAGGCATACCGCGATAATATCAAGATTTCAATGTCCCTCAAGCTGCGGCTGCTTAAATATAACTATTTACCTTCAGAACTAGCAAGGTAATTGATGTCTCACGGAAAGCTCAAGAGAGACAAGGCAGTGCAACAAAACTTAGACTACGATTTATTTTAGCACCCACATCCGAACTTCATTAACTAAAAAAAGTTATTGGTGACTCACGTATTTTCTTTTTCTTTTTCTTTCCCGGTTGTTCCCATGGTGACACGGTCGCACTGGCTACTCCCTTTTGGCTTGTACCCCATGGTGAAATATTGGGCAGCAAGTGGCCCTACAAGACTGTCCATTTCAGCGCTACCTACTCCGCGCACATCATATCAGACTGTGTTCTCTGTTGGCTCCAGAGGAAATCATCATTGTTCTGCCTCCTCGGTACTGAGGATAAACCGAATTAAGATGCATCGTGCTCTGCTAAGGAAGTGGGCGGGTACTCCTGGCAGCTGTTTCAAATCGCATTTTTTTTCAAGGTAAACTCTTCTTAGTGATCGAGGCGGTACTGTTTTGTAAGTCAACATCCTTTCCTCATAGAACTACATGCTACAGTTAAAACGCAGTTTTAATAAAAGTTTTCTACCGTGTTACCCCTTTCAAACACGGTTGGTCCACATGTATAAATCATTATACTGTATTATATTGAAAAATAATGGAATATGAACTTGTTTTTAGTTCTCAATTTCACAGATGCCATTTTCTAGATCAATAAATCTTTTTTTAACAAAGTTTCTGTAGTAAGGATCCACGTAAGAGCGAGCGTAAGAAATTTGCAAACCTAAAATATTGTTTTCTAATAATCTGTAGTTTACATAAATGCAAAATATTCTCTTCTAAATAAATTACATTCCGATTATTAACAAGGCTTTGAAAACCCCTTGAAGGCAATCAATGATGTTAATCATCCAGGTGGATGCTACACATTGGTGGTGGTGGAGGGGAGTCCCCATTACCTGTAAAGCGCTTTGAGTGGAGTGTCCAGAAAAAGCGCTATATAAGTGTCAGCAATTATTATTAATATATGATGGTAGTTAATAAAAATGGGTACGATAAAATGAGGCAGTCGGATGTGTATTCTTTAATATTAAAACGGGTCATTCACCCATTTCAAACCCTAGTTTATTTTCTGGACAAAAAATGAAGTTTGTATGTGGGATTTTACTTTTTAAAAACCTGCACATAGGACTCACTCACTCCAGGGCCAATTTTTTCCAGAAGCCAATTAACCTACCAGTATGTTGCTGGGTCACTAAGACTCACAGTCTGTTTTTTAATATACTTCGAAACTTCCAAGGAAAATACAAAAGAGAACAGATCTTAATTCGAGTTTCAGAAAACATGCAAATAACAAAAGATAGTAGTGTCTCCATTGACCAGACAGCACATGTTCCAGCTTGTTTTCTTGATGTCAGAGGAATCCACCTGGGGGAAAACCATCTGAAAACAGGGGTACATACAAACTCCACAAAAAGAGCACCCCAGGTTCAGAATTGAACCCAGAACTACAGCTCTATGAGGCACCAGTGCTAACCACTGTCCCACTGTGCCTCCCATAATATATACCAATAAATATTTAAAGTATTAATAATTATAAACTTTACATTTTGTATTGAGAGTCCTTATTGAGAGCAATTATTTGAAAAGTGGGATCCCCTGCTAGATAAAGCAGCTAGAAAGAGAGAGAGAAAAGCCCTGGGTGTTTTCTAAGACTAAAGACTAATTTTCCGGGCAGCTTTTATCGGCTCTGTCATCACAACCTTTCACACTGCTTAGAGTTCATGTCAGGAAAGGTGGAGTCTTCTTTTCCCAATCTGTGTTCACCAAGTCTCACAGAGTTTGTTTTGAATACACTTCCAAACCTCCAAAGAAAAAAGCAATATGAAAGAGGGTAGATCTTAATTGACATTCCAGAAAACATGCAAATGATGAAAGATAGTGGTGTCTCCAGAGACCAGACAGCACATGTTCCAGCTTGATGTCTTTATCATGTGGGCTGTGTCCCATAGCAAAAGACTTTCCAGCCCTGACATGAAGCGCAAATGAAAAGTCCTCTGTCAACCTTCATTTACACTGATGAGTATTTCTTAGAAATGTGAGAATCTGCTTTTAATCAAGACAGTCACAAGAAAAAGATTGCATTTTCTCTATTATTCTTCTATCAATTTTCAATAGTTTTCAAAGCAAAATAGCAAAACAAATATTTTTGACACCACTGTGTTCCTCAGCACAGGAAGCCTGGAAGGCTTATTTTTTAGTTTCCTAGATTTAAAAGAATAACTTTCTCATCTGCTGGGAGATTGATGCAGACTGTTTGGGATGAATCAAGTTTGAATTGAGGAAGCGCTCAATAACGCTTGTATGGCACATACATGAGATCATGACATCTTCACAAATCCATATACAGATTCAACAGAGTAACATCAAAGAGAACAAACAAAGTGTATTATAACATGATAATTTAGACCTGCTTCAGGCCATGGGCCACGTTTCTTTCAGAATATTTGCACCATTTTTTTATTTAATGTTTATTTCCTGCATCAGTCCTGGTGCCTTTTATGAAGGGGAACAACTCAGATTGCTAGACATTAAAATATGAAATTTATTATTTTTCAAGCAGGGTGACAGCATGGTGCATAAGATGTTGAACTTGTGACTGACAGGTTGTGGGTTTGAGTCTCCAGTCCCTGCTGTCGTACACTTGAGAGAGGCACTTTAGCCCAGCTTCTCCAGTCCACCCAGCTGTCTAAGTAGGGACCAGCATTGTACAGTAGGGAGTGATCCCATCCAGGGGGGTGTCATGCCTGCCTTAATAATGCTACAGAAACCTGGGGCTTTGAGCTGCTGTGGCTCTGGTATGGATCTTACCCAGCTACCTACTGTATGACAAAACCAGCCTTGGCATTACAGTACATCTTGTTTGTCTTCAAAAACAAGCCCATTAACTATATGTTCATTTGTGCTCCTTAAAGTGAAAGAGTACAATATTCTTTAGTGAAAAAAATGTACAGGTTATTAGTTTATCCTTGGTTATGTTTAAACAGTATTTCCTTTGTATCCTCCAAGGTATGAACTATTATTTTTTGTATTTTATCAGTTTAATAAAAAATAACGACACACTCATACTCTCCCTCTGCCTTCCGGCCCTCAACAAACCCACACATGCATTAATTGATTGAACCTCTTTATCCTATGCTAAAACCTCTGTAGAAGAGCACTGATTACATTATTATCCTGAAAAGACAATTCTCTGGAAATATTTTTTTTGCAGAGGGTAACTTTACTAAACAGCACACTTCCTGATGTGCTTCATACAAATGAATGTTTTCAGGGAGTCATATGAAGGACATATTTGCATTTGTTGACCTCTCTCAGCACCTCTGTAATCATACTGTATCTCTGCTGAGAGTATTTTACATTCAAGGAAGAGTGAGTTATGTGTGGTTAGACACATCCTTTAAGAGCACATACCGTACATTGTCACGGCATAGTGGAACTACAGGAATCTCCAAAATTCACGCAGACATGGAGAACTTTTCAGCAGTTTCAGTAGAGATGTTATAAATGTCAAAGTCCCACATACTGGAGGAGCTCCTGAGCAGTTATTGTGGTAAAAATGACCTTAGGGGTATTCATTTACATCTCAGCTACAGTATGCCACTTCCTGAATGTAACTGGGATTTCCCCATCTACTTTTCCCCCAAATGTTACCAGGATATTCTCAGCTGTTCTTCACATTTGCCACAGTTGGGTAATCCTGAATTGCGTAAAACAGCCCTTTGCTGGCTCGGTTGCTGTAGAACTGGGTAAGCTATTATATCCATCCTCCATTGACACCAAATCTGTTTTCCAGAACCACAATGCACAAAATGAAACAGTTTGTCGATGTATGTTGTGAAGGACTTATATATCTCGTGTTTATCTCCTCTCCTCTCCTCTCCTCGGTGTTTTAGGGTTTAATTTCAGCTTGAATAGCTGACTATGACTGCGATTCCCCAAGTGGCGGCATGCAATTAGTCTCCGAAGGTAGAGTGGGATTAGTTAGCATGTCATCCTGCTGCAGGGCTGGGTGGCCTGTGATGTGATGCCCACATTTGAGCCACTCATCTTTAGGGTGGCTCAAATGTGGGCAGGTCAGAGGAGACTGCCTATATCTCCTTAGTCTCCCAGATGTATGGCAGTGAGGTTTGCAGCTGCAGTATGGGAGGTGAAAAACACACAACTGACTACTGGTAATTGGAAGGGTACTGTATAAGAAAAATAACAGATACAATATATGTCATGTCATTTGCCAAACCGCTTTATACCATACGGTGTCGCGGGAAGCCAGAGCCTACCCGGCAAGCAACGAGCGCAAGGCAGGGTCCACCCTGGATGGGGTGCCAATCCAACACAGGGCAAGTGGAAGCCAATCGTACATGGGGACAATTTGGATGCCATGATAAATGCCGAGGTGGGAAATATGGCCCGGACACTGGGATAACTCCCTACTCTTATCGAGAAATGCTCAGGGATCTTTAATGACCACTGAGAGTCAGGACCTTGGTTTAACGTCTCATCTGAAAGAGGGCACCCACTACAGTTTAGTGTCCCCGCCACTATACTGGGGCATTAGGACCCACACAGATTGTATGGTGGGTGCCCCTCACTGGTCCCACTAACACCACTTCCAGCAGCAACCACAGCTTCCCAAGAGGTTCTCCCATACAGGTACTGACCAGGCTCAACCTGCTTAGCTTCAGTGGGTAGCCAGTGGGTAGACAGTTGAGAGCTGCAGGGTGATATGGCTGTTGGCTATACAGCATATATTAAAAAAAAACATTGTTGTTTCACACATTGAGACATATACTTTCAGGCACAAATGAGATGCTAAGAACTGAGTTCCGTCGGAAAAGACAATTTCCCCTTTAATGCAAATTATTTTATAGAGTACAAGGGAAACAATCTGAAAGGTTAGAAACTAGAAAGAGAAATTTAAGTTGATATAATTTTTTTAACTCTAAAATTTCCTTCCAGAATTCTTTTGGCGGATGTCCACTTTGCAAAAATAATGGAGCCGTCTTGCTACAGCTCTTTAACTAAGAGGCTCCTGTGTGGCTTATCTCATGCTGTTAAAGCTTCCACTATTAGTCTTACTTACTGGAGATGGCTGACTGAATTGCAGGATGTGGAACTCCCTGACCTGTCTGGCGTCTCCAGTAGTTAAACAAAAATGACAAGCGATTCCATAAACCTGGTTGTGGTTTTGCTATTGAAAAACAATGTTTCTTAAGACAGGCACCTGTAGGACTACCTTTCCAGATATTTGTCCCAACAGGTGACTACAGCTATTCAAATACAGTGCGTAATACCTTAAGGAAAACAGACTTTGTAGATTACAAATTTCCATGCACATATTAAATCACTGTCCAAACCTACAGTATATGCAGCTTTCTTCATCTACCCTGCTTTCCATAATGTACTGATTACCTGAATACCTATAAACTTAACTTAAAGATGTGCTGCTTGTCATGGACTC